CTCTCAACTCACTCGACATCGGTCCTAAGGGACAACCCGCTCGATACTAAGTTAGGGCCTAGGCTACTAAGCCTAGGCCCCATGTTTCTACTCTGTATTACCTACTATTTTGACACGGCACACGTCCAAGCCGCACATGACTTCGTCACCACCATGCAGCAGCTATGGGAGAAGACTCAGCGACGTCTCACCACGATGCAGAACTCCCAGAAGCAGTATGCCGATCGACAGCGACGAGATCACTCAGTAGCAGTCGAAGATCAAGTGCTTCTTGACACGTGCCACTTGAACCTGTCTCACCTCCCATCCAAACTCCAACCTCGCTTCTGTAGTCCTTTTCTCGTTGAGGCTCAGGTGACACCAGTAACATTCCGTTTGCGCTTACCAGATACGTGGAAGTTTCACAACGCTTTCCATGTCCAGCTACTGAAACCCTACAAGGACCCCAACCAACAGTTCCAGGGACGGCAGCTACCGCCACCTCCACCTGCTCTTGTGCAGGATGAACCCGAGTACGAGATTCAGCGCGTTCTCACTCATCGGCGCCGGGGCGGCAAGACCCTCAAGTTCCTGATACGCTGGAAGGGATACGACCCCACTGAGGACAGTTGGGTTGCAGAAGCTGATATGGGCAACGCACGCCATGCTCTCAAGGACTTTCTTGTCAAGCAGGGTGTATCTCACGCCACCCAGCTTTGAGGGGGGGACGTGTGAGAGTACGTCGGCTTATGCCTGCCATGCATGCTTGCTTTTATTTCCTTACGCTATTCCTAGCTTAGGTTTATTTCCTGCGTGCATGAATTGCTTGAATTCCTAGGTTCGTTGCTTTACTATAGTTATTATAGTTACAGGCACTGAACCAGGTTACATGTACTGAACTCAAGCTATTCGGTTGCCACCGAATTGCTTTCTACCGAGTTCGGGAAGGTTCTGTTCGGGACGCTTCGCGACCCTCGGAACATTCGCGTAACACCTGGGTTACCTGCCTTGTGTCGAGCCTATATATAGCCTCGTGTTGTACCCAGGTGAATCATTCAATTCAAATCATCTTTTTTGAGCTCGATCCTAGATCCTCACACCTAGAACGAAAGTGCACCCTGGCCAGGACGGGCTTTGCACGGCCCGAGTCGGGCCACCCTGGCCCGAGTATAAAATGGGCGGGCCCGGGCCAAGGTCTTGCTCATTCGGCCTGGGTCGGGCCAGGCTCGGCCCGGATTTTTTCAAGGCCCGGCATGACCCGACCCGGGCCGTATATACGTGGTACGCTAATACGCTCTGGATTCGCGAAAATACGGGCGGGCAGCCCGCGGGAAAAAATAAATTCGAATTTGAAAAACAATGCGACGACTTTGCGGCTTACGGCGTGTTGCAATTCACGGTGCACTACATCGGCTCGGCTCGTGGCACGGGTTTTGGAAGGCTCCAGGAACGCAAGAGGCCGTAAAATTTTACAGAAAACTCGCCGAAAAAATCTATGTCCTAATATAACATTGCTAAATAACTATTTGAATCACTATCTTGAAGCTTTTCTTTCCCGAATCAGTGCCTGTGTTTGGCCTTCCGCCTGCCTGGAGCCTTCCAAAAGTCCCGAGCCGATGCAGTGCACCGGCAATTGCAACACGCCGTTAGTGAATTGTTACCGCGAACTCGCTCAAGCACCCCACCCATGTCTCAACTTCGAATTTCAAAATCCAAACTTTCCCACCCACTCAACCACACACCACCCCACCCAACCTCTCAAACCCAGCCACCCCTTTCAAATGTTCATCACTTCGTGAGCATTTTTAGGTCGACGAGTTCCATAATGCTCTTCAATTTACTTCCCGCAAGTCTCGTCTAGCATTCTTCCCCGTTAAACATTCCGTAGTCGCGCGCCATGACGTCGAGCTCAGCTCCTACTAGTCCGACAAGCAGTGCAGCCTCTGTTCACGGATCTACTGCCCGGAAAAAAAGTTTCACCTGCCCACCCAGCGAATTTTAGCATATTAGCAGTACGCCAGCTATTGCGTACCGCGTATATACCCAGCGTATAATACGCTAGCGTATTATACGTGATACGCGTATTTTCCAACATAGAGCTCGGATTTCTGGCTCAGATTGTTTGTGGACGGAGCCAAATTCCCGTTTGCAGCATTCAACTCATCCCCGTTCGTGCCAAGCCGGCTTGACAAGCCACATGACTCGGGCAATGAGCGGCTTGAAACCCGTCGACATGCCGAACCAGGTAAGGCTGCCAGGTCGGGTCTGAACCTGTTTCAGGTCGATACTTTCACTGGGATGGCCGTATGACTGGAACGATCATATACTATTAGGAGAGACCGCAATGCCGCGGATCCTGAACGGGCTGGTTTTTTTTATCCATGGGAATGCTTCCAAAATCTGGTGGGCCTTGGGCTTTAAACACGTACACCCTAGAAAGTGTGTATTGTACATTATAAGCAGGAACGGGACCCACTAATTTGTCGGCCCAACTCATCGCAAATCGCCCAATTCGTCGCAAATCGCCCAACTCGTCGTAAATTGCCCAACTCGTTGCAAATCGACAAACTCGTCACAAATCGCCCAACTCGTCCAAATTGTCCAATTCGTCGCAAATCGCCCAACTCGTCGCAAATCGCCCAACTCGTCGCAAATCGCCCAACTCGCCGCAAATCGTCCAACTCGTCGCAAACGCTTCAATTCGTCGCAGATTGCTCCGTCGCAAAAGGCCAACATGCGGGCCAATCGGTCGATAAAATGTCCCAATTCGTTCGCCGCGTGCTGAACAGGGGCTTGGATCACCATCGCCAATCCTCAAAGTCTCTTGCGGGGAAGCCAATTTAGAGGGAACGTTTTGGGACGTCAACTTTTTGGTGATGACGTAGGGTTGAGTGCATTCGCCGGGCCTCGCTTGACACGGCGGGTAGTGAGTGAGGCGTTACAATGGCACTCACAGGGAACGAAGATTCGCAAGATTGCCGATGGAGTCGGGAATGGGGCCATTGAAGCTGTTGTACTCGATGTGCCTGATGGGAGAAAAGACAACACGCATGCATGCCGCATGACGTTAGATTTCGCAGCGTATGCAGAGAGGCAAAAGGCGAGAGGGAGGGTAGTCGCAGGGCGTCGGAAGCGTCTCCTCGCTGGGGACTTGGATCAGTTGAGTTCGATATCGTTCTATTCTAGGAGCATAAGTTCCCGAGCGATAGAGCAAAATGTAGGAGCTTGCAACATACGGTTCCACCGCGCTTTTGAACTTGACATTTCCAACGTCGTTCGAATGAAGACGGTAGCACGTTGGCGACAATTCTCGTTATCTAACGCGCGAATCGGAACTGTACATTGCGAAGGGATTTGTCGAGGTCCATTCACGAAATTAACCGCAAGCGCGAAACCAGTAACCTGGTCGATTGGCTATTCTTGTGAAAATTTAGAAGAGAGAAGAGGGCTGCACTAGCAAGAATGGGGATACAAATAGGAAACCCTAGAAGGGTTGTACTCGCTATAGAGCACCCCACTACAGGCTAGAGCATAAGATAACATTCTGACAATTCTGTCCCCACTCACATGGATGTTATCATGCCCGTGGCATCGCACGTGATGTTTGCCGCCTTGCTGCAGTCCCCGCCAACCACCCACCCATCCATCGTTGTGTTCCATCCCTTTTGACAGTCCAGCAGGACTCGTGCTGCGGCGGCCGCAGGGATTGGAAGTGGAGAGGGAAGGGCAGGAGTGGAGGACTTGGTTTGACCGATCTCATTACACGCGCGACCCACGTGGTCCGCAGGGCGATGGAGGAAGGCAGAGGAAGTGACTCGGCGAGCGAAAACTACATTTAAGTCACGTCTAAAGATGACACATATTTACTCTCTCACCTCCAACAGGCAAGGGGCGCCAAGAAATACATCAACTACTATACCCAGGGAGTTGGCAAGGGGAACGCAGTCAACTCCTGGGAATGCGAGACATGTGAGCAGGAGCAGCACGCCGAGGGCTGCGAGCTCCATGAGGAAAAACTCGCTGGCTTTCGTTGAAGTAACTGGCGGAAAAGTTAAGAATGATCTTTCTGCGAGATCGCCCAGGGAAGATCCGAGTAGATGGTGATACCAACAAAATAGAACTCTCGGTAAAAGACCTGGATGGAAGCGATGAAGAGGACGAAGTGCTTTGCTTCAGGGGTGGAGTGGAACACTAGCACTCGTCGAAGGACATTCGAAGGGTAAGGTGGAATGGATTGTTTCGTGTGCATTGTCGTTATGCTTGAAATGGCAGGGCGCAAATATTTGGCTGAACCAATTGGTGCCCACTTTCTGGCTGAACCACGATGCTGACTGGCAAAAAAAGGGCCCAAATGTCTGTTAAAACAACCCTGAAAAGTTCCATATACTAGATGGATACAGCCTTAGAGACCAGGAGCACTTTGTTGATTGTTTTTATGGAATACCCTGCGAATATAGGCGGGTTGTGGGTGATACACCCCGGTCCCTCCTGATTGCGACTCGGTTCTTGAGACGGCTGTGGTCATGAAACTGGTAGGGAGGTTCAATTTGGTGCGAAAGCTGCTGTTCACCACACCAAATGACCACACCAATTTAGGCTGTTTTCAGATGGAGTACGGTACCTGCATACAACTTCATAACAGTTGACTGAGGAAATATTTTCGACGAAGGCTTTGTACGGTCTGGTTGTGTACGAAATCTTTTTTTTTTTTAATGAACGCTTACTTTGACGAGTATGTTCTAATGGTATCTCTCTCGTCAGTTGGGTTCGGCCTACAGTTTCGCCCTTAACTATTCCAAAGTCGCCACCCACACCATTTGCCAATTATCCGAGCCTCTTTTATCCCAAGGTCCTTGCCTACCTCGGTTCCACCCTATTTCAGCTTTGCCTTAGACCTTCATACATGCAGTTCCATTTACAGGCTGTGAATACCAATGCAAGCTGCGCCATTGTTGAGCACACACAGTAGAGCTTGATAATACAACGATTATTGATGTGCTGAACAAGTACAGACTTCTTGTATGGCAAACATGTCCACACAGTTGTCAGTATTCTCGGTGTTCCAATAATCCCTGGGTCAAAACAATTTGCACGAGGGCATGTGAATGTGTTTGTGGAAGGAGTGAGGATGACGGAGAAGAGCTGAAAATGAGACTGGTGCAGGGGAGGGAGAGGGTGAGGGAGAGGGAGAGGAGGGGAGAGGGAGAGGGGGGGAGAGAGAGGGAGAGAAAGAGGGGGGGAGAGAGGGAAAGAGAAGAGAAAGAGGAGGAGGAGGAGGAGGAGGAGGAGGAGGAGGAGGAGGAGGAGGAGGAGGAGGAGGAGGAGGAGGAGGAGGAGGAGGACAGGGGGACAGGGGGACACACAAACAAACACTCTCACGTACAGCAAGAAAGACGCAGGAGAAGGGGCGGTTCAAAGGGAATGGATGAAACAAGGGGCATCCGTTTAATACCTTCAAAATGAGCGGTTCTACGTCGGTCTTCCTGACGAGGTGGAGAGTGTTGGCTTCCAAGTACGCCACTTTGTCGTCCAGATACATTGCACCGGCGTCCTTGAGCACGCGCACCTCGATGTACGGGTCCTTGGGGGGTAGCAGGTCCTGGCGCACACGAGGCCACACGGAAGGGGTGGGGTGGGCAGGATGACGGAAGAAAAAGGGATGGTAGTGCAGCAGCTGTTTGGAGGAGGGCGGCTCTGCACGGTTGCATGTACTCTGCACTGCATGCCCTTTGCCACACACACCACTTACCACCACACATACCACAGTGACATCACACATACCACCGTGCCCCTGCACACACCACAGTGACCCCCCACACACCACCGTGCCACCACACAGACCAGAGTGGGCCCAGCAGCCCCCCCTGGTTGCCCCCAGTGCAGCAGGGGGGTGAGGCAGTGAGCATGGTGAGGGAGTGAGCATGGTGAGGGAGTGAGCATGGTGAGGGAGTGAGCATGGTGAGGGAGTGAGCATGGTGAGGCAGTGAGCATGGTGAGGGAGTGAGCATGGTGAGGCAGTGAGCATGGTGAGGAAGTGAGCATGGTGAGGGAGTGAGCATGGTGAGGGAGTGAGCATGGTGAGGCAGTGAGCATGGTGAGGCAGTGAGCATGGTGAGGGAGTGAGCATGGTGAGGCAGTGAGCATGGTGAGGCAGTGAGCATGGTGAGGCAGTGAGCATGGTGAGGGAGTGAGCATGGTGAGGGAGTGAGCATGGTGAGGCAGTGAGCATGGTGAGGGAGTGAGCATGGTGAGGCAGTGAGCATGGTGAGGCAGTGAGCATGGTGAGGCAGTGAGCATGGTGAGGGAGTGAGCATGGTGAGGCAGTGAGCATGGTGAGGCAGTGAGCATGGTGAGGCAGTGAGCATGGTGAGGCAGTGAGCATGGTGAGGGAGTGAGCATGGTGAGGCAGTGAGCATGGTGAGGCAGTGAGCATGGTGAGGGAGTGAGCATGGTGAGGCAGTGAGCATGGTGAGGCAGTGAGCATGGTGAGGCAGTGAGCATGGTGAGGGAGTGAGCATGGTGAGGGAGTGAGCATGGTGAGGCAGTGAGCATGGTGAGGGAGTGAGCATGGTGAGGCAGTGAGCATGGTGAGGCAGTGAGCATGGTGAGGCAGTGAGCATAGTGAGGCAGTGAGCATGGTGAGGCAGTGAGCATGGTGAGGCAGTGAGCATGGTGAGGCAGTGAGCAGGGTGAGGTCCAGCCCTGCGTCCGCCATGCAGTCGCCCAGCCGCACTTGAGCCGAATCATAAGCCTCCCTTGGATGTCCCCACACTGACTGACCATGGTGAGGCACTGAGCACTGATTGCCTCTCTGGTTGCCCCCACACTCACCACAGTGAGGTCCAGCCCTGCATCTGCCATGTAGTCACCGAGCGCCTGTGAGTACTGCGGCACTCACTGACCACTGTGCGGCACTCACTGACCACTGTGCGGCACTCACTGACCACTGTGCGGCACTCACTGACCACTGTGCGGCACTCACTAACTACTGCACGCGGGGTACTGACTCACCACTGTGCCCCCCTTCACACCGCAGTGCCCCCCTTCACACCGCAGTGCCCCCCTTCACACTGCACTGCCCCCCTTCACACCGCAGTGCCCCCCTTCACACCGCAGTGCCCCCCTTCACACCGCAGTGGCACTCACCACGGTGAGGTCCAGCCCTGCGTCCGCCATGTAGTCGCCCAGTGATTGTGAGTACTGCGCCAGCCACTCGCCCTCCCCCGCACTCAGCCGCTCCTGCAACGCCCGTGGCAGCGTTGCGCCCAGCTGCCATCGCAGCCGTCGAATCTGATCCATGCGCGCATTGCTGATGGGAGAGAGGAGGGTAGCGAGGGGAGAGGAGGGGATGCGAGATGAGGTATTATTGAAATCCACATTGGCATGCTGGACAGTGGCGATGGCAGGTGACTTTGAGTCGACTCAAAAAAGGAAGGTGGCGAAGGGAGAGGAGAGGGGGCGAGATGAGGGGGGGAGAAGGGGGGGCAATAGAGAGATCTATGTTTGCTGGGAGTGGACAGTAGCGATGGTAAGTGACTTTTGGGTCGACTTAAAAGAGGAGAATGGCGAGGGGAGAGGAGGGGAGGCGAGATGGGGAGATAGTGAGATCCACATTGACATGCTGCTGTGATTGGACAGTAGCGATAGCAGGCAGCATGCTTCGAGCAGATTACACGAAGCACAGCACGATGCATGGCAGGTTCGAGATGCGTGGCACATCACGGTGCACAATGCATGGTTCATGGAGCATGGAGCATTCATGGAACATGGAGCATGCATGGAGCATGCATGGAGCATGGAGCACAAAGCACACTAATGGACGCGACGGATTCGAAGGGGATGGCAGATAGGCGAGGAAGCAAAGGGACTGACTGACAGGTAGGCGGGGAGGCAGGGACTGACAGGTAGGCGAGGAGGCAGCGCTTGTTGCGCAGCAGCGCCTGGTGGTGCACCATCACGGCCGTGGCGTCCTCCAGCCGCGTCTCCTGCCACTCCACGCCCGACCCCTGCACTCGCCTGCCGGAGGCAGGAGGGGGAAGGGGGTGAAATAAATCAAGACGTCTCAAAAACTCACTCCAGTCCCGACCCCTGCACCCGCCTGCCGGAGGCAGGAGTGGGAGGGGGGGAAATAAATCAAGACGTCTTAAAAAGTCACTCCACGCCCGACCCCTGCACTCGCCTGCCGCCCGCCGCGCATGTAGGGAAGAGGGAGGCGGGCGGGGGGCGGGTGGCAGAGAATGAGAGAAACAATCTTCTGAGGAGCGTCAAAGGAGGGCGGCAGAGAAGGAAAGAAACAGTCGCGGTTGCGAAAGAAACGAGGGAAAGGAAAGAGAGGAAGGAGACCAGAGCGAGAGGTGCAGCAGACCAGGGCGAGAGGTGCAGCAGACCAGGGCGAGAGGTGCAGCAGACCAGGGCGAGGGGTGCAGCAGACCAGAGCGAGAGGTGCAGCAGACCAGGGCGAGAGGTGCAGCAGATCAGGGCGAGAGGTGCAGCAGACCAGGGCGAGAGGTGCAGCAGACCAGAGCGAGAGGTGCAGCAGACCAGGGCGAGAGGTGCAGCAGACCAGGGCGAGAGGTGCAGCAGACCAGGGCGAGAGGTGCAGCAGACCAGGGCGAGAGGTGCAGGAGACCAGGGCGAGAGGTGCAGCAGACCAGGGTGAGAGGTGCAGCAGACCAGGGCGAGAGGTGCAGGAGACCAGGGCGAAGGGTGGAACGCAGATTGAATGAGCAGGTGAGGAGCGTTTCGAGAGGCGACAGAGGCACAACGTGTTGGTGATGGCGGCGGAGGAGCATAGACGGCGGGGAGAAGTGGAGGAGATAGGGGGAGAGACCCGCACAGGAGGATTTGCACCATGTGTTGGTGATGCTCGTGCGCCTCCTCCAGCACTCGCTGCACGCCGTCCGCCTGCCACACCGTGACAACCAGCACAGAGGGGAGAGTGGGGGATAGGGAGCAGTGGAGGCGTAAGTACGATGGAGCGCGATGTAAGAGCAGGTGATGCGGAAGGCTTCACCACCATCGCTGCGGACACAGCGCGTCCGCGTCGGACGCATGCAGCGGCGGGACACGAGGGCGTACATCAAAGGGCAGGATTTGGTCGGCGTCGCATCGCGCCACCTCCTGCACGAGCTCCACCGCCTTGCGCGCGAACATGGCGGCCTCCGCTGCGCCACCCGCTCGCTCCGCCCGCTAGTACTGCGAGGCAGATGGCAGTGATGGCGTTTGAGATGAATTGGCTGGCTGTGGCAGTTCAAGCGACGGGAGAGGAGGTTCGTCGCACGGGAGAGGAGGTTCGTCGCACGGGAGAGGAGGTTCGTCGCACGAGAGAGGAGGTGTGCCGCACGAGAGAGGAGGTGCGTCGCAAGGGCTACACGATGTTGCGAGATCGGAGAAGAGCGCAACGTGCGGATGGGGGAGCGAGGCTAGGACGCGGCCACTACACATAAACGAGCCTTGATCGACGCCGCGTGACGTGGTTCGGTCACGACGAGAACAAACATTCATTCACCACTTCTCTGAGAACACTATTCCTATTCCACATCGGCGTGTTTCGAAAGTCCTAAGGTGTTCGTCGGTCAGCGCGCGAGCCTGTTGCGCTAAGGCAGTTACTGAGCACCAGCGACGTCTCGTGGCGAAATGAGCGCAAGCTGTGTGCGTGGGTGGGTGGTAGTAGCAGGCATTGCAGGTCCAACTTATAGACATTTGAAACATTGAATTCGTAAACCAGGGGCTGTGTTGTGCAGGTGTATCAGCCCGTATCAATGTAGATTGCCACATTCTACCATGGTTCCAGGATCCTTCCATGACAAGCTGCCCACAGGTTATCAAGGTTCGCGATAAGCGCAACAAGACGAAATTCCGAAGCAAAACAATAACGAATGCCTGGGAAACGGCCTTTTTGGCTTACGAAGTTTGTAATGGCGCTGTTCTGTAGGCGTTAGGGCGGGTCCAACTTTGCACAATCCCGTTTTTTTCGTTATTAATGGCCTTGTTCTGTAGGCGGGCTGGCCTCCGCACAAAATGTCCGGGACAGGCTTTCCTAGAAAATTCGCGTCACATCCAATCAAAATTGTCACCCTCGATGTTGCTACGAAGCCCCGCATATCCAATGCATTTCCGCAATCCAAAGCCCCGCATAACTTGTGCGCTGGCTGATGCTTGCCCTGGAGGTTGAATCAGCCCCGCACTAGTTGTGCGACCGTTTGCCAGGCGAAGCAATTAATTCGAACCAGCACACGGTTAATCTTGTGCGGGTCAAAAGTGGTGTTCTGCAGGCAGAAGCGTCAAATTTGGCGCAAGTAGGTTTGGCATCCACGCGCTTATCACCAAACCTAGATAAGCAATTGATCAGTTATCAATCTTACTGTGCGAAACCAGATGCTGGAAATTGTCCGCCTACAGAACAAGGCCTACACGTCAACGGAATAGTCAAACTTGACTGAACCCCAGGGCGAACTCCAAACATTGACTGTCCAGTTCCGAGTGCACAATTCGGACTTCAGACAAGGTGATAAGAAACGAGGAATGAGAATGACTAAGGGAAAATTGGGTACAAGTACGAACCCTAGAAAGCTATACCCCATATGTGCTACCCCACTATAGCCTACAGTAGCTATGTCATATATGTCTGACACAAGGTACTGAGAAAAGAAGAACGAGAATGAATGACTAAGGAATGGAAGTAATACAAATATGCAACCCTAGAAATGTGTACCCCATATAGGCTACCCTACTATAGCCTACACAATATTATGATTTTACACATCCCCATAGGCAAAGTGGGGGAGAACAAGGGGTCACAAGACCAGTCAAGCAAAGCAGACAAAGCTCAGGGTGGATCACAACGTCACCACACAGTCCGAGCACAAGGTCAAGGCCACAAGGCCAATTCACATGCAAGAGTACACACATATATATATAAGGCTAAACAAGCAAGAGCAGGTATATATATATGTAAGAGTACAAGCAAGGTCAAGGGGTGAGCAAGTGAGGCAAGACAGGCACAAGACCCAGCTGAGTGCAGAAGCGCTGATGATCACAAGGCGGAAGTGCCTTGGTGAAAACATCAGCAGTTTTGGCCTCAGAGGCCACGTACGCAAGTCGCAACTGACCACGCTGCTGCAACTCACGAGCAAGAAAGTACCGGAGAGCAATGTGCTTCGTTTTGTGCTCCAGGCACTGCTCCCGACACAAGGCTAGCATGGCATTGTTGTCTACGTACAGCACCGGAGGAGAACGAGGCGGCTCTCCGAGGTCAGTTAGCAGGTAGGTAAGCCAGCGAAGCTCCTGTGCAGCCATGGCCCCGGCGTAGATCTCAGCCTCACAACTGGAGCCGAGAACAGAAGACGAGCGAGTAGCCCGCCACGAAACAGAGCCGGAACCAAGGCTGAAGGTGTAACCCTGTGACGACCGCTGCGTAGCCTGGTCGTCTGCCCAAGAAGCGTCCGCGTGCCCAGTGAGGACCACTGGACTCCGCCCTCCAAGCACTAGCCCCATGCCCGACGTACTGCACAAGTAGCGCAACACCCTCTTCGCTGCAGCTATGTGCTCTGGTCGGTGTCTCCCAGGAGCAACATAGCGTGCAAGAATGCTAAGAGGGTATGCAAGGTCAGGTCGTGTGCAAGTCATCAGGTACATGAGGCAGCCAACAAGCTCTGGGTACGGGCCACTCGACTCTACGGACTCATCCGAAGGCAGAGCTGAGAGCGAGTGGCGAGTAGACAGAGGAGTGGCCTGAGGCGAGGAGTACGTGAAGCCGAAGCGCTGAAGGACCTGCTGCACCATGTGTGACTGAGTCAGGGTAATGGTGCGGCGTGCTCTGTCCCGGGTGATCTGCAAGCCAAGGTAGCTGCGCAGTTCACCCAGGTCTGTGCACCTGTGTCTCTTCTGCAGCTCGGACTTCACGTGGGCGAGTCCAGCAGTGTCAGGAGTGGCAAAGACCAAGTCGTCGACGTACACGAGGATGTAGAACGGCGGCAAAGAGGTGTCGGTGCGCAGAAACAGCGACGGGTCGCCAGTAGAGGGAGCAAACCCAAGAGCCGCAAGTGTAGTCCTCAGTGTGTCGTGCCACTCGCGCGGTGCTTGGCGAAGACCGTAGACTGGCCGTCGGGGGCTCCACTGGGTGCCAGGAGGGAAAGTCCCAGTGAAGCCAGGTGGACGGCGCAGCCAGATCTCCTCGTGCAGGCTACCCTGCAGGAAAGCAGTGCTGAAGTCAAGGGAGTGAAGCTCGTAGTCACGCTGAGCGGCTGGTGTAGCAGCACCCGAAGAGTGGTCATCTTCATGGTGGGAGAGAAGGTCTGAAAGTAGTCAACTCCTTGCCGCTGACTGAAGTCACGAGCCACGTACCATGCCTTGAAGACAGGTGGAGAGCCCGGCGGCCGCTTCACCCTGAAGATCCACATGCCACTGACGATGTTCGCCCCAGGAGGGGGAACCGCGTCAACGTAGGTGCCTGTGGACTTCCAGGAAGCCATCTCTGCATCCATAGCTGCGTGCCACTGAGAGGAGTAGGGACCCTCTACGGCCTCCGCGTAAGAGCGCGGAGTCGGGATGTCTAGTGCATCCGGGTCTCCCTCAGGGGTAAGCAGTACAGACGCGAGATGAGGTGAAGCAGCGGCCAGACACTGGAACTCCTCCTGCCTGTCCTCAAGGACGTCCGTGCCAAGAGCACACTCACCCCCGACGGACAGAGGACAGACAGACGCAGACTCAGCAACAAGACTAGCAGCGTAGTCTAGACGATAGCGAGCAGCAAAGTCGACGAGCTCAGCAACAAGAACAGACGCAACAGTGGACTCAAAGGAGGGGTCAGTGACAACAGTAGCAAGAAGACGCCTGACACTAGGACTGGCAGCACGAAGAGAGTCCGACTCAGGGTCGGCAAGCACAGGATGAGAGGAGTCAGGAGGAGAGGGCAAAGGGGCACGCAGAGGAGCAGGGGACAGACGAAGAGACATCAGGTGCGTGCCAGGGACAGGAGGAGGACGCTGACGCGAACTGCGACCACTAGTGCGAGCAGTACGAACAGGCGACGCAGGACGAGGCGCAGGCTTACGACGCTCAGCAAGACCTCTAGTAGGACCAGTGTACGGAGAAGGAGAAGGCAGTGGGGAGGCCGGCGGTAACTGTGACTGCGACTGGACAGGCGGTGGACACTCTAAGGGAGGAGGAAGACCAAGAACCTGCTAAAGGAGCGGAACAAAGTACGGCCGAGGCCGCGCGGCGACTCCAGACACAGCAGGGACAGCACCAGCACCCCCAGCGGCAGCACGAGCGTCAACAGCACATCCAGCTCCAGTACCTCCAGCAGCACCAGCAGCACCTGCAGCAGGACCGCCGCCAGCACTGACAGCAATAGCCTCAGCGCCAACACCCTCAGTAGCACCGACTCCAGTAGCACTCGCAGGACTAGCACCTCCGAGACCGGCGGCACCAGCACCCTCAGCAGCCGAAGAAGCACCAGCTCCAGCAGTACGCCTCCAGCATCGGGCAAACCACTCGCGCAGCTCCTGTGGAGAGAGTGGCTCCCGCCGAGACGAAGCACCCGGAGAACCACCAGGCCCAGCACCGCCAGACGCCACTGGAGCGGGCTCCGCACCCCCAGGCTCAGTAGCTCTTGACTCAGCACCCCCTGGCTCAGCAGCTCCAGACGCATCACCCCCAGGCGAAGGACCCCCAGGCTCAGCACCCCCAGTCGTAGCACCCCCAGGTTCAGCACCCCCAGTCGTAGCACCCCCAGGCTCAGCACCCCCAGGCTCAGCACCCCCAGTCGTAGCACCCCGAGACTCAGCACCCCCAGGCTCAGCACCCACGCTCGCAGCACCCCTAGAGTCAGCACCCCCGGGCTCAGCACACGCAGCAGCACCAGAGTCACCAACAACCTCGACCGACTCGACTGCATCTACCTGGGACACACCTGAAGGGGCAGGACCCTGAGGGGGGAGGGGGTCTACCGAGGGGGGACCTGGCACAAGGAAGTGCGGTGGCGGGGGGAGGGAAGGAGTGCGGTAGGGGAAGAGGCGGTAGTAGGGTACTAACTCGTCGAACGTGACGTCCTGGGAGGACAGAACACGACGAGAGGAGGGGTGGTAGAACTGCCACCCAGGGGCGTCAGGGGGGAAGCCAAGGAAGACACAAGGAGCAGCACGAGGGGA